TACTTGGTGGTATTAGTACTTTGTACTCAATCCAAGGGGAGGAAGGCAAGGGAAGATACAGTACAAGATAATCAAACAACAACAATTACAGCACAAGCAAAACAAGCATATATGTGGTTTGTCACAGTTATAGCAATCATATCTATACTCTTTGGTTTAAGGAAGCTCCAGGTGGTGGTATTAGTACTAGGTACTCAATCCACCGGAGTTAAATTAAATCTAGAGTATAGAGGGGTTGCAAAGAAGAGCAATTGCAACATATCATACAAGATTGCAGGATTTTTTTGTACAAACATGACAACACTGTCAGACATACAGAACAAGCATGCACAGCTTTTGGGGCTTTTATTTGCACATTTTGCAGTTCATGATTTGACACTTCATCGGGCTATTACAAAATGCTGGACTGCAAAAGTTGTTCCTAGACTAAAGCCAATTATGCAGGCACTACCTTCTTGTATTGTGTGGGAGTTGTGGAAAAGAAGAAATAATTTGAAATATGGAGAATCAGTGTCAGTAAGTAGGGTGATTTATCAGGTTTCTACTACTTTACAACACTTGGTACAATTAAGGAAACCAGGTTTAAAGGTTCCTCACAGGTGGTCCAATCTGTTGTACATGATGGAGCATTATACTCCAACTCTGAAGTATGAGAAGGTGATATGGGAATTTCCACAAGCTGGCTGGATAAAGGTTAACACTGATGGAGCATGTAGAGGTAATCCTGGGAGAAGCTCTATAGGTTTTTGTTTGAGAGATGAAGCAGGAGAATTAAAATATGCACAAGGGAAGGAGATTAGAGAGGGTACAAATACTGAAGCTGAGGCAGCAGCAATTCTGGAGGCCTTGAGAATGTGTAGAGCCATGAATTTCAGTCAGATTTGGTTGCAGACTGATTCATTATCGTTGAAAAACATAATTGAGGGATTATGGAAGCCCCCCTGGTGTATTGTTGATCAGATAGAGGAAATACTGAGATTGAAAGGGGAGTTTAATTTCAAAATATCACATACATTTAGGGAAGGTAATCACTTAGCGGATCATCTAGCAAATTATGCATTGGATGAGGGAGATATGGAATGTTATGGATTTTGGGACCTGGATATTCAAGGTAGAAGGTTGGTGAATGAAGATAAGATGCAATGCCCTGTTCTGAGAGTAAGAGTTGCAAGAAGTTAGCAGAAGAAAAGGAGGCTGGGGGAGAATTAGAAACAGGAGTTACCTATAGCCTCACTCATATTCAAATCTGGATAGAGGAGAGTATGAGT